TTTGGAGCCTGGATCCCTTTGAGGTTCTTTCTGATTCTCCAAGAGGCTCACAGATTGTTCATAGAAACACAGGAATAAAACAGGGGTCTGTCATGCTTGAAGCTGTCACTGTGATCACTAAATTGGTGTCCACTGGGCTTTAGAGCTGCTCATGGAGTACTGGAGGGTCTGGTGTCCTCAGTCTGTGCCGAGTCCAGGCTCCATTTTCCTTCAAGTAACAGGCCAGCATAATCACACTAAGGACTGAGTGGAAGCACAACTCGAAGGCTTCATAGCAGAACATGGTATCACACAGCAAAAGAAGTTGGTCTGTGTAAGAAAGTCACCTGTGATAGAAGACAGCTGCACCCTTCCCTTTGCCACGTAGTAAGTGGGTGTCTCACTGCAGCAGCAGTGACAAGCTTTGCTGTTGTAGCTGCTTTTCTCTCCTGGCAGTACTGGGATGCTGGGTCTGCCAGGGCTGCTCTGAGGTCCTCAGTGCTCTTTTGAATGCAGAAATGATGACTAAGACTTGTATAGTCCTGGTGGAGCTCAATTTATAGGAGCTTTGTTGGAGCTTTGGGAGGCTAGATGACGAGTCGCTTACTCTTCATCTTCCACCCCACACAAGGGATGTACCAGCAGATACACCTGTCTCCTCCAGCCCTTGGAAGCCATGCAGGTGCATATGGCCCAGGGCTTCCTCAAGACCAAAAGAAACAGAGGCACCACTGAGCCTGAAAAACTCTGGAAGGATTCCTGAAGGAGTGTGTGTGCTCAGTGGCTGCAGCTCTGCTGCTTGGCAGTGCCTTGGTAAGCAGGGTGTGGTGTGCCCCACCAGCATGCTACCAGAAAGCCCTGGCTGGCCTGAGTGGTTCCTCACACCAGTATTCACTCACTGTGGTGAAGGAGGAGATAAGGCAGTTCCTTGGTACTCCAGAGCATCCCAAAGTCAGCCACAAACTCCTTTCCCTGGTGCACGTCCCCTTTTGACAAATGCAGAATGATTCCCACTCTCTCTCCCACTGCTGGGGATGTTGCAGGGGGTATAAAGGACTTTCTGGGCATTAAGAGTACGTTGAGTTCCAAAAGCTCATGATTATCAGAGATCCCACTCATTTTTATAATCAAGGCTGCTTCCTGTAATAGCATCTCACATTTGGTGCTGTGGATCTCCACTGATGGATAGTTTAGGTGGATAAAAACATTGTTCATCAAAGCCAGGGCACATAATGAAAAACTGGCTGAGTAAAGCCATAATGCAGAAACAGGTTTAAGCCCACATAGCCTTTCCCCTAGTCTAAGCTAAAAACATTCTTCCTTCCAGTACAGAAGTGCTATCAGCCTGCCTTCCCCATCTTCTCCTTCTAACCCACATTACAGTGGTTACTTCATGCACTTGTGTGTGGGCATCCAAGTCCAGCTGCCATCCTCTGCCAAACTCCGAGTTAAAACTTAACCCACCAAGTTATCAAATGTCCTCAACATGGCCTATATCTTGTCCTGGGTCTTGCTCTTGGTCTTCTTGGTGAAACTGTTTCACCTGAGATACATATTTATACACTAGGCCACCAGCTGAGAACATGAGGCCACAAAGTAAGAACTATAACTCATCCGTTGTAGCTTTTGTATGATGCTGGAAGAGGAGACTGTAGTCCTGATCCCAATTTATATTCTAACTACAGAGCAATCTGGCAAAATTGGAGCTCCCCTTACTTTCAATGGTTTATAAGAGGTTGGGAGGGCTCAGCTCTTGCAAATGATGTGACTGACAGGTGAGAGCAGAATGAGTTGGTTTTTTTCATGTCAGACTTAGTTATAAGGTAGATGCCAAGAAACTCAGCATCATTAGGATGTGGGTGTTTGTAGGCATTCCCAACAGCAGAAGTCAGGCTGTTCATATTGCCTCAGGAACTGAATATCCAAATCTCTACTGACATGTTGGATCGTCACAGATGTTACAGCAGTGCGTGTATATATATCTCCCACAGATAAGCAGGACATAAAACCTTAAAGTGCCTATTGCGCACCAAAACCTTAGTTATCACGCCTCCCATGCAACTGGAGGAATTTTGCTGAGGCACAAAAGTTTGGAGATGTAACATTTCATTACTATGAGCACTGAACTCCTAGATGGGCTGACTGCATCTCCTTCTCCACCAAGGCTCCACAACCAGACTGTATCCATACATGGTACTGCAGGCAAATATAGCCTGTACTCAAAAAACCCCCTAAACGACCGTAGTCTTTCCCAGCTCATGGACCTTCACCAGTGACTCAGGATGGTGATTAGCTATGGCTTCCCTCTGCACTCCTCCAATGTGGAGGATTTACAAGTATCATGCCATGTTGTCATTAGCCTAAACCTGCCGAACAGCGATTTTCATCAGGGATGTGCTAAACTACCTCACACAACTGTGCACCACAAGGTGTATTAATCAAAAGACTAGCATTCCTGTTTTGGTTTTGCCTGCTTGTGTCCCAGTATAGAGAACCCCTAACTATAATAGGAAACCAGAAATGCAAATAACTAAGAACAGATAAACAAATATTTAATTCAAACCAGCAATATGTTGTTTGCAGTTATTTATTTTACTAAAATGGTTACATATGTTGAAACAAAGAAGAGCAATAGTAATAATGTTTGTTTTTCCAATATCATAAATAATTATTGAGTCTTCATTAGCTGTTGGCTCAGCACTGATCATGATTTTTGTTATTTAAAAAAAGACACACACATAGTTCATTAGAATTTGTGTTTTCAGAAAACTCCAAAGCAGCAGTAGAAAAAAAAAATAAATTAAAGGAAATGGTAACAAGAAATTATGCCAAGTATTTCTTAAATTTAAAACCCACTTGATGTGTTTTACAGATTATTCTTTGTGCTTTGATCATTTAAAAAAGAACCACGAACAAGTTGTTTATACAATGGCTTGTCTTCTCCAGTTTTACTCCAGAGAAGTCCCCCAAAGTACCTTTTTTACATGAAAAATTTTGTTGTCTTTTATACAGACAAAACCACTGTGAATATTTCTAACAGAAAAGTTTGTCAAAACCATCAATTTATTGTCACAAAATATTTAATACCAGAATAACTTATAATAGTATGAACAAAACTGAAGTATTAACTCTCTGCTATTAGTTATGAACTCACATTATTATGTCAAAATCCAGTAAAGTATCAAAAATTAATGACACGGAATCTTAGACATATAATGATGCAAGTCAGTAAAACATATACTTCAACTGTTCATACAGTCATGACATACATTTCTTGCTTGGCACTTTAAGTCAATGCAAATCAGCAATTTAGAAAACAAAGTAAAAATATATATGTACAAAATATTTTCATATCAAATCATTTTCATTGTACACTAAATAAACCCAACAACATGTTAAGTTACATCAAGAAGTTTCCGAAGAAGTCACACCAAGGCTGATGTTTGCAATGTATCTTGACTATTTTAGTGCAACTGGAACAGCCTCTACTTGCAAGTTAGTTTCATCATTAGCACAGTCCTGCTTCCATTGAAGTGGGAGTTCTGCCATTAAACTCAGTGGGAGCAGGACTAAAGTCTTGTCTTGTTCATTGATGGCTCACCAAAAAGAGAAACAAGGAAAAGGATAAGTAGGAAAGAACCTGACAGGATACCCACAGGAAAAAATCCAAATCCTAGCAATAATCAGCTCTTTTCCAGTTTTATGTAACTGATTCAGTATAAATTGATTTTGTCTTTGTCACTGTTTATTCAAGCACTGTAAACCTCATTAAGACTGTTATATGACTTCAGAATAACTTGTACACCTCCCAATAAAACTTAAAAATAAACGTGGTTTTATGCTAGTCATTACACTCAATAGCAGTCAAGTTTTGAGACGTGACATTTAATACATGGTTTAGTATCTACTTAAAACCCTCCCACCTCGAATGCTGAGATTTTTCAATGTTTCATCTCCCATTTGTGTTTCTAGTTTGGGCTTTGATAGTTTATATTATAGCTTTTTCTCACTGAAATGTGAACTGTCAATCAACTGTCCTCATTTATGCAGTACCTACAAAATAAAAATGTCTAAACCACATTAAAGTAGTAAGTTCCACCATGGAAGCTTTTTTGACCTCCACTGCAAATAATAAATGGCACTACAGATTTAGTTTTGTACAAGAAGGAATCAAATTTACCTCTGTCAAAACTCCAGTAAGTCACTAGCAAAGCTTTGAAATTATAGAAACTGGACTTGAATTTACAACTAGTCTGCCTAGAACCTTCTCAACTAGAAATATTTAATGAGCAACACAGCTGGGAGCATATGTATAAGTTCAAAATAATCTGAACAATTAACTTATTTCCTAAATTTGTGTGTTCTAGAGTATTGCACATTTCAAAGGAATGATTTTGGTATTTTAATATACTGCATATACAGGTAAGAAACATGCATAACAACCTCATTGTCACTTTGACAAAACATACTGTACAATTTTTATAACACTGTTGATTAAAAAGAGAGAAAATGACGTAACAATTTCATTAAGACTCGTCAATTTGCACAAGTCAAATAAGCACAATTCTCCAGGGCCTCCAGCAGTAACGTGTTTAGCCCTAGGCTGCTTAAGCCCACTTGGAATAATATACAAAGTTTAAGCATTATGGCATTGTCATTTTGAGGCATAATACTGTTGTACTATGCCCACGTTATAGCTTATTTTTTGAAAGCAAGGCACTTACTGTAATAGCAATGCAAACATCTTATGCGCACTTTGATTAACATAAAATAAGTTAATGTTTTGATAAAAACAGGGTTTTTTTTATAATTTACATGCCTTTTATAGAAGCAATTGAACATTTCATTTAATACAATGAAAACGTCTGAGTCAGAAGGAATGTTATTTTTTTAAACTGACCATACTGTAAAAAAGGGCCTATTTTCCACATTTGCCTCATATCTGTGAATCTGATTTTGCTGAAAACCAATCCTGCAAGGAAAATGTCCGTTTGACAGGAAAAAGAAGAAGGACCCATCTCTTAAAACTGCTGAACTAATGGCACTTTAACAGTCTTTACTTCTGATATATGTGATGATTTCTGAATGATGCAGCTGGTAGTTCCCTGCAGTTTATCCTTCCCCTGGGCAAGGTTCGTTAGGGCCATAGCTGCGTTGATCTCCTTCCAGTATGTTTCATCTTTGCTGGTTCCTTTTCTGTTAGCTGCGCTAGATTCAAGCAATAACAAATATTTACATGTACAGCTTACATAGCTAGGTGATGTCAGGAAAACAATAATAATTATTATTTTGGAAAACTGTGAAGTCCCTTACTCACCTTTCACACTTATTTGGTCCATTCTCCAGAGTTTCTGAAAACAGAAAAAAAATAATTGATGTCTCTCTTCTTTTAATAGTTTTTAAAACAAGCAAGTTCATGGAATAGGCACATGGAAAAATAACCCAAGATTAATTTCAAAATTGATACCAGATTTCCAAATAAAATTTTTGTTTGGACACATCTAAAGGGTCTGCTTCACACAAGCGTCTGCCTGGAGAAATCTACACCAAGTTTGGAGCAGGGCACATGTCAAAAAAAAAATGCTGTGGGGAAATTTCAACTGTGGGGACCTTCCAGAGACATGATCTTACAGGAATAGGCTTTGGTGAAGCAGAACTTCACTGAGCCTCACCAGAAGCACACCGGCAGAACCGGTGCTAAACCCTGCCCAGCGCATCCCACACCAGCCCCGTCTGGGAAAAAGTATTTTGGTTATTTTGGCAATAGTGAGAATAAAGCTGGTCTTTGAGGTTCACCTACATTTTGCAGGGTGATAGAGCTAGTTTTTCAAAATATAAATCCCAAGGACATACGGAATTGCAAAACCTAAAAATAAAAATCAGCTTCATTGCCCTTCAGTGAATGCCTTCTTGTATGCACTAAAAATAGGACTTTCACCCATACACACATGATGTGTGTGGTTTTTCATGCGCCCCTTGCCCAGGCTGCGCCTCAGTCACAGAGGCCGGCTGAGAAGGGTACAAGGAACAAGCACACCTGGTTAACAGCCTTCAAAGATGAAATTGCATCACAGGCACAAGCTACACTTTCCCATCAAGAGTCACATTTGTTCATTCATTAAGTCCTCACGTTGCAGAGAAGCCAGAAATATTTACCAGGCAGAAATGTATAAGCTTTATTCAGGGGGCTTGCTATCCTGACACAGAAACGCATTATAGAGGAGCGAGAAGCCGTGCCTAACTGCAATACCTATGGAGAATGAGTCAAACAAAAGAAACAGCAACGGCATAAGAACTAATGGCTACAGGACTCAAAAAGCCCCTGAATGCAGCATAAATCTCATAAAGGAATACACCTCCTTGTGAGCCTAGATTCCCAACTAAAAATCAACCTTATTGCTAGATTTCCATTAGATTATTAATTAAAAGCTGATCTTTTCTTTAAACAGAGCTTCCAGTAGAATAGGTCTCAAAGCATATTGCAACCCTTGGTAGCTCTCCACTTAGGAGCGGCTTTGCCCACCATCGACCAGCAGCCCATTTTCTCATACAGCCAACCCGCGTCGAACAACAGCCCTGCCACAATCCCCAGCACTTGGGGGTGACCACTGAAGACCATAGTCTCACCAAAGAAATGCAGGGAGACCAGCTGTAATTTCAGAGGTCAGACGTTCGCCAAACTGTTTGATTTAGCACGCCTCCATCCGCAAAACATCTTTATAAATAAATGTCCAAAAAGTGACCGAGGTTTACATTTTGTTCCGAAAGAGCACATCTTAAATCAGTGTCTCTTAAGCTCTCCTAGATCAATGTTTGAATGGGATTCAAAAGAGGGGCAAGTTCAGCCTATACAGAGGAGAGGGAACCAACAAAAAAAGAAATAATTTGATCCAGAGTGAGGTACTGAATGACACCAAAAGTCTCCTTCTTCATGCTGTACTTGGCTACAAGTAATTTTTCAGCCCTGCTTCATTTTTTTTAATAGAGACAATTTTAAAGAGGAGGTTTAGGACTGAATAGGTCAGTAGGTATAGAAATGGAAATGGCAAGTAATAGAGAATGTCGTTGCCAGAGCAAACCTGGATATAAATACACCTCTCTCAAGCATCTGTCAGTTTCTTTTGCTGTTGGAAAATATTTCCTATGAACAAAAAAATTGCTTGTACAAACTTCTGAGGAAAGTAGGTGTGAATGGTGACACACATTCCAATTCCAGCGTTTATTTGAAGGAGTATTTGCAAATATTTTTTACTGGTGTTCAGCCAGCTCTAAAAGAAAGCGGCTTGCCCATGGTATATAAAAGCTAAAAAATACAATCCAGAAGCAAAAAGCTACCCATTCTTTAACTTTGCTGAAGATTTTTCCTGAATTACAAGTCTTTTTTTATTCCATTCAGGTTTTACATTTTTTCAAACAAGTAATTATGTCAAAGAAACTCGAAAATGGGTTACAATAAAACCATCACTGATAATTTGCAAAAGCTCTTGCTAATAACTGCTGTAAAAGCATGTTAGTACAATGAAGTCTGAAAATCCATCATTTCAAAGCACAGACCCTGTTTTTCTTGCCAAAAATCCATTTCTGCTATACCAAACCTCTGACAGCATATCTCCATTTGCACTACCATAGCATCCAAGCAGCTCACATCTGTCTGAACAGCCCTTAGTGAAGGAAGCAAGTATTACTACCATTTTTTTTTGATGAGGATAACCACATTGAGAGAGACAAAGACCATTTGCCACACTCTCCTTGGCATCTTGCTGACCAAACCAACTTGATCCACTTGCCATGAACTTGCCATCTAAGTCATATATTTATCCAGGCTAGTTGTTGAGGCTGCATTCACAAACAACAGAGATGTGCTCCAAGAAGGGGTTTCAGTCCACCTATCTAACGCCGCAGTCCAACATCCCTGGGTGCCGCTGCAAAACCAGATCGCGAAGCCCTCTTCCATGGCCACCTCCTCCCACTGTTTCCCTTTGGGCAGCATTATCATCCATGTGGATATGCTTTGAGCTGGATGAGGGGAGGACCATATCTCTGCTTTGGAGATTAAACTGGTGGTGTAACTACAGCCATAACTGCTTAGCTCAGCCCAGAAGAATCGCAGTCTGGCCATGTCTGGCTCTTCACTGACAAGAGAGGGAATGTAGATAACAGCATTTTATGAAGTTTAAAAAAAAAAAGGTGAATCTTGCCCGACATTTTGCTTTTTCTTCATCTTTTGCAATCTACCTGCTCTACCCCTGACTACTAATTAAAGCTTTTGATAATTAAAGCTTTTGATATTTGACATACCTGCACAACAATTGCAAAGTATATTTCAACTGTAAAAGTAACATTTTGATGAGACTGCTTCATGAATATAACTCAAGAACAGCATTCTCAATATGGAAAGTGTTCGGTTTCTTGACCATTGCACAACATGTTCCTAGATTTCTTCTCTGAGCAATGAGGAAACGGCACTGTGACTGGGTAACATCTCTGGAAATGGTGACGGAAAGAATGGAAAAATAATGCAGCATACCGAATCTCACCGAGTAGCCTCAGCTAAGGACTCACCCCAGAGAAAGTGCTGATGGGCAGACCTCTCACTTCACTCATGAGCCCTCTCTCACTACGTGAGAGGCAGCGCTTTATGCAAGGTACCAAGGATGTGCCATAGCTGCCCTCTCCATGCGCTGCCGTTAACTTTAATCTAACATCCCTTTGGGGGCAGCAACCTCTGGTCTCTCCTGAAAAACTGTGGTCCTCTGACTAGCTGGATCAAGGCAGACTTGTCAAGCTTAGATCAAGACAAGTGACTCCAGAGAAAGCCAATGATGATGCATTATTATATTCCATGCAGTTCCCAAGACTTATTTGATAGGGTGTACACTGAAGTTTATTGACAGCATACCACTGGCCAGCACAAATAACTTTCCTAAACAAACCACAGTTGTGCTCAATAGCATATTTATTAATTGAAACCCCAAAAGAACCTGCTGCTGAGGTGGTTTTTTCTATCTCAGAAAGCAATGCGCTTCTTGTGAAAGGATGTTGGTAGGCTTTCAGCATATATTGAGATCCTATAGTAAGTCTATTTAATATTAAACATCAGAAACAGCTTTTTGTTACAAGATTGGAAATCACTTAAAACAGTGGTCATTTGCTCTACCACTGGAAAGTTTTAAGCACTATGAAAATGGAAACTCAATCATTTATAACTAGGGATTGTCATTTATACCTCACTTTCTGGTTCTTCGTTCTGCTCCCAGTTGCAAGCATCCAGAGAATCAGCTTTTGCCTGGCCAGGAATGTCTCATTCTGCTCTTGCCACCCATCCAAAGAAACCAGCAAGGCAGGATATTTGTTCCCTCTTGTTTATAATAGGAAGTCACTATAAATCACTTACCAATGGAATCCTGTATACTTTTCCATTAGTATGAGTTTTCAGTATACAGTTTACTGTAGTATGCAGTGCCAAGAGTGTAGTCACAGGACAATACCAGCTTTGTGATACAGTATGGTATTTTTCAGGACTCACATAATTATTAATAATATATGTAGCATATATTTTTTTTTTCACCGTGAAATTTCTTCATAAATATTCACTGGCTGATCCTGACAACTCTCTTGCAAGGTAGCCTGTAGTCCCGTTTTAGCAGAGATGGAAATGAGTCTCAGAAATCCAAAGACAACATGCCTAGGCAATACTTTCACCCTTTCAAAAGCATTTCAGAGCAGAATTTTCCAGGATTCTCCAACATTTAAAATGTTTTCTTTTGTTCTCCTGCTATCAGAAAGGCCCACCTGGAGAAAACAAACCCCAGGGTTCTTGCAGGCAAACCATCCTTAAACTGGACAACAGCATCACTTACCTCCAGTACATTGCCATTACACCTGACTGTTGTCAAAATGATATACAAATAATTCACACAAAGATACACGTCTAAGTACATACACAGTGCCCTTTTACATACTGCATCCAGTATTAGAGAAGAAAGCCAGAGCATAAAAGCCATAGCACATATGTCTACTCCAATTTACAACATACAAAGACTCTCTGGCTACACGGTACTTGTGGCACGTTCAAATATTTCAGAACAATTCAGACCCTTACCAATGGCCGAGTCCAGACTAGTAACTTTTATATACTTGGATGACTTTGGGAGTGTGCTAAATAATGTTAATTACAGTTATGTTTTACTCTTTGGATCTAAGAATTCTGACCTAAGAATATCACACGTGTGTGGTGATGAACTGACTTTACATAAAGGCCCTGCCGGGAACAGCAAAGGAAAGACTGACCACTTACGTAGGACCAAGAAGCATCCACGTTGCTCCCCCACTCCGTGTTATATACAGCTCA